GCGACAACAGTTCCGATCTGCAAAGGCCGTGGAAGTGAGTAACTTCATAGCTGCCAAGGCTTTTGAAGCCCTTCCAGAGAAACTTCGCCCAGCACGCGAACAAGCAGTGAAGATGCGTTGGATACTGACATGGAAGCAGAAGGAGGATGGCAGCCGAAAGGCGAAAGCCAGAGCCGTCCTCTTAGGATACCAAGATCCATGCTATGAACAGAGAGCAACGACTTCTCCAACCACGACTCGCCAGACCAGGCAACTGCAGATGCAATTAGCCGCTTCATATCGCCACAAGATGCGAAAAGGTGATGTGACAGGTGCTTTCCTGCAAAGCAGGCCATACCCTGATGACCTTTTTTGTATACCATGCCCAGAGATCTGTGAAAGGATGGGACTCCCAGCAGAGTCAATCACCAAAGTGAAGAAAGCCTGCTATGGCTTAGTTGATGCGCCACTGGAATGGTATCGTTCCATTTCCGATTTCTTTGCAAAACTCGGATTGCAAAAATGCTGGAGTGACGCATGCTGCTGGGTTTATGTGGTTGATGGGGTTACCAAAAGGGATTATTTCTGGTCATGTTGATGATTTCCTTTTTAGTGGGGATGAAACGCATGAGGGTTGGTGTACTGTTCTCAAGAGTATCCAAACGGAATATAAATGGGGAGATTGGGAAGAAAAAAGGTTTACCCAATGCGGAGTTCAAGTGGAACAACATGAAGATTTTTCTTTTTCGTTGTCGCAACCGAAGTATGTTGAAGACTTGAAATATATTAACCTGAGAGCCTTCAGGAAGAAAGACCGAAATGCACCCACTGAGGAGTCTGAGAAAACACAGCTTCGGGCCTTGCTGGGAGGGGTCTCATGGCACGCACAACAAGTTGCGCCCCACTTCAGTGCTGAAGTCGGCTTGCTGTTGTCAGAGGTGAACAAGAGTACTATAGAGACCATTTACAAGGCTAACAGGTTACTTGACAAAGTCAAAGATATGAAAGAACACTGCATGAAGGTACATGCCATAGAACCACACATGTTGTCACTGTTTGCATGGGTAGATGCCGCCTCTCAGAACCGCGTAGATGGCTCAAGCACACAAGGCATTATAGTTGGAATTTCATCTCACCGGTTACGTCATGGCAGCTGTGAGCCAGTCACCTTTGTCGCCTGGCATTCGCAGAAGATTGGCAGGATCTGCCGCAGCCCCGGAGCAGCAGAAGCAGCAGCAGCAAACAACGGAGAAGATCTCCTCTTTTTTGCGAGATTCCAACTGGCAGAAATGATGGGAGCTCAAGTCAATGTGAGAGACATCAACAGTGTCGTCAACCAGATCAGTGGATGCCTGGTTACTGACTCCAGGAATGTGTACGACAAGTTAGAGACCGAGGTCTTGTCCGTGAAGGGCGCTGAGAAGAGAACAGACCTGGAGTTACTCTCCTTGAAATCTGCCCAGATTCGCAATGCTGTGGAGATTAGATGGGTTCATAGTGAAGCTCAGCTATCAAACGGGCTGACCAAGAGCAACGAGCACAAGCAACTGCACCTGTTCTACCGCATGGGCCACAAGTGGCGCATAGTCGAAGATGAAGAAAGAGCGTCAGCTCGGAAAAGGAAGCTGCTCGGCCTTGAGCCTCTTGAAAACAGAAAGAGTCAAGGGCCAGAAACCGAGCCGGAGACACCATGGAAACCCACGGAATGATTTTCGTCTTGTTTGGTTTTTCTTTGTCTTGGTTTTGGTTTTGGAGAAAAAGTTCAAGGGGTAGCATCACTATCTCACAAGGAGAAAGAAGATGCGGGGGGCATGCTGTTTTTACCACAGCACTCATAGGCGTTGACATGCCTATTCCGTGAAGTATTGGCTGAAAAGAGCCGCGGAGCGAGATTCATGAGGCGTTGAACACCCCTCCTTGTCCAATCGATTCCAGTGACTCTTCATATCCTACTTGAGCACTTCTACCGCTTGCATATATTATATATATATATATATTATATTATATATATGACAAAATCAAGCAGGTGTAGGATGTCCAGTTTTTTCGGGTGAGGACTGACACCCCTGGTACCTTGAACCTTTGGGGTGCTTGAATTTCTTCGCCAAATCAGCTGGACTCAAAATTGTGCTTCTCCATGCTGCAGTGGGTCGCATGTCAGTAAAGGGCCTCTCAGATTCTTGCTTTTGATCTGCACAGCAACAAGGGCAAATCTCATTCGCATTTCGGTAGGGCCAGTTGAATTCTGATGCAAAAAACTCCAAACCTCCAGTAATGGCCCAGTAATGGCCCAAAGGACACATCTCCTCATTGGCTTGCCTCTGGGGCCATCTGCAGCCTGCCCCCCAAAGCCTTTCTTTGGTGTTCTGCCATTGTACAGAACTGTGAAGGACCAAGAGAGGCACTCCATGATCTTTTCCCAGGTCTCTTTGACAGCAGCTAGCTTGGGCATACAGGTGAGGAGCAGCTGGGACTCAGCAACGCTTTTCTTTGTCAACAAGCATCTCATCGACAAAACATGCACAGAATCATGCTCCAAAAATGGTGCTGAATCACCATGGAGTGCAAATGGCAGAGGCAATTGAGAAGGGTGAGCGAAGTGTAGGGAGTGCCACAGTTCAGGGCATGTCCTCATCTGTGGTGATTCCTTTCGGCTTCTCCAAAAAGTGGTCAAATCTGAGTCTTTGCAGGACATGCTTTCCAAAAGATCTGCTTGATGCAAGCACAGAATCCATTGGTGTGGAAGGAGTACCCAGACATCTCCAGCTTTCACAACTCTTTGGCCATCCTCCTTCAAAGCTATTGGGGCTGTGATTTTGAAAGGGGCTGGTGACCGCAGCTTCCCGAAAAACTTTCTGACAAGATCCCTGTGCACATTTCCTGGGGTCAGCCATAAGAGCCCAGCTGTGCCAAGGAATGTATATCTTGACTGTCACAACCAGACTTCACAGCACAGTGTGCAATCTCTTGGATTTCACAAGCACTCAGCTTTCCTGTTGCAAATTTCCGCAAGAGAAGCAACCCTAAAGGGCTGGGTTCAGCTGACATTCTTGCCCACTTGAGAGGTCAAAGCTGCAATGGAATTAGGCTCCACCTGGGCTTTCCAGCCCATCAAACTGTGCTTGTCCCAGATGCGCTTTGGATTTACTGGCTATCCAGCCCACAATGGCCAATAGTGCAAACACAAAGCAACTGGGCTATCCAGCCCACAAAAGCACACACAAAAAATAAGGCTACCCAGCCCAGAACTTGTTTGACCCAAAGCATGCTTGCAGCCTTGATTTTTCTGCCACCATGCTTCAGCCTTTGCCTTCTGTGCCATCAGTTTTTTCTAAATCTACAGGTTTCAAGCCCCAGTGCTTCATGGCCTTGGCTGCCATTTGCTTCTTTGACTTCAAATCTTTCAAGGCAGTGCATGCCTGGGTGAGGACCTTGGCCAGCTCAGTTTTGGCACCAGTCTTCCCAGCCAAATGGGCAGTCACCTGCTTCAAAGCCTTGGCCATTTTTCTGGGACTCCTGCACCTTTTTCACCAATGCTGAACAGAGCTGCATCCACTGAGGCCAAGTCCTTGGTCAGCTCTGCTTTGAACAAACCAATCTCTCCTTGAGTTGCTTCTGGCCATCCCCTGCACTGACTTGGGACATCTGGTCCCACTTGTTTCCTTTGGTCTCTTTCTCTTCTTCCTCATCTTTCTCCTCATCCTCCTCCTGCTCTCCACCTGCACCCTTCTTTTTCTTGCCTTGAGGCCCATGGCAGCAGCCAAGCCATCATCCAGCCCCAAAGGCTTGCTGGGAGCAGCCTGGCTCAAGTCAAAATGGCGCTCATCCAAGTCATCATCATCCATCAGCTGGTTGAAGGCCATTGCTTCTGTCAGGCTGCCTGTTCCTTCCACTTTTCTATGGGCTTCCTTCTGCTTATGCAGGTATGTGGCTTCCTTCTCTGTGGTGGCTTGGAATTGGAAGAATCGCGGATCTTCTGGGAATCTCCTCCACTTCAAAGTTCCAGCAGACAGTCTCAATTTCATTTCTTCTAGCCCTAAGTCCTCTTCACATTTCTTCTTGCTGACCCATGCCCTTTCCACTCCATGGCTCTTGTCTAGGCTCAACTTCATCATTGCACCCTTGCAGTGCTTATGCATGGCCCAGTGGAGCAGCAAAGATTTCTTCTTGGCCACACTGCCAGCCCCATTGGTCTCTTCCTTGTACTTCTTGTCTTGGTCAGAAGGTTTCCTGCTAGCCTCGAACTTTTTCCACAAAAGCTGCACCTGCTTCTCTGGCAATTTTGCAAGGGATTGAGAGAAATCCTTCTCAGACATCTCTTCCTTCTTGGCTAATTCCTCCAGAAACTTTTCATGGTTAGCCAAGGCTTCCTTGGAAAGGGCAACATTCCTTTCCTCATCCTCACCTGTCTTGCTTTTCTTCTGGGTGTGGTTTGATCCTTCTTTGGCAGCAGGCCTCTTGACTGGCATGGCTCCCTAGATGTGAGGGCTATAGTGCTTCCTTACTGTTTGGGCAGTTCAAAATCCTGCAGCCACAAAAAATTGGCAACAGAAAAGTTTTCTATGATTTTCTATATGTTTGAAAAGTGGTTTGGGACTTTTTGGCATTCCATTTTCCAAAAATATCTTAGTTTAAGTTTTGTTTCAGCCATAGATTTTTGCATTGCAACATATTGCAACCTAAAAATTGCGACCCAAAAACAAATAAAATAAAAGAAACATGTAAACACAACCCCATTTCTTAAAATAATTACTTTTTCATGGTTATTCATGTGAATTCATGGTTCTCATGGTTATTCATGTGACTTCATGGTTCTTCATGGTTCTTCATGGCCCTTCATGGTTCTTCATGGTTCTTCATGGTAGTAAGTGGATGTGACCTCAGACTCCCAACCGCAACTGGGATATGACAAATGATTTATGATTATGATGATTGTCAGGCTGAGACGATACTCCGCCACCATCTACTGACCGTTCTTGGATGTCCTGGGAGGAATGACATGGGTTTTGACCATTGCTCAGGTGTTCATGCCAAAGAGCGTCAAGAAGATTTGAGATCAGAACGGGACTGCTAGCTGCTTTGATCCCGTGCGGATGCAATTTGTATCGGGATTTTGCAGCAACCTTGGCAATTGCATTGTGGTATGTGTATATACTGTATGTGAGCGATTTGCATGCTGTCTGTCATTCAATAATCAATGCGGGTTTGATATCTACTTGACTTGCAACCGCAAAAAAAGGCCGGTAATCAAACACATGGCAATGGATAAGTATGGTTTGTAGTGAAAATCATCTGAAAATGGACATTCGCTGCCAGATTACCAGCAGATACCCTAGTAAACCAACATAGATGTAGACAGTTCATGGTTTCCCTAGAGACATGATCTAGACATGGTGGGTTTTCCACATTTCTTTGTATGTTTACAAGGCATCTATGTTGGCATCAGGAATCAGTTTCCAACTCATCGCAGGACAAGAAAGATGCCAATGCCATGTTGAAGGTCTTTGAAGTTTTTCAGCTCCTTATCTGATCGAGTTCCGATGGTTCGGAAGCCATCCAAGGTGTTGTTTGTTTGTCCGTTGCGCTATTTTTGCTACTGCCAAAATGGCACGCCCCGAACACAAAACAGGGTTTACATTATGGAAGTTTGGTGGAGAAATTTGAAGGGCATAGAGGATAGTTATGGATAGTTGATACTACACAAATAAGGCATTTCCTTGGTATGTTTCTTCCAACCATGTTCTTTGAAGGGAGCTGACGTACCACCACTGGTTGTCTGTGAATGTGATTTCCCTAAGGACTGCAGATGTGCATCAAAGTGGGCAAATTTCCAAGAAGGCGACGGCAAAGATGTTGACCCTTGCAACTGATGTCAAGTCAGGTGGTAAATGTTCTACAGTCACTTTTTTTTCTTCCCTATCTTGGGCCAGACTGTTTGAACTAGACGACGGATGGCCCGAGAGCGTAGAGGAGCAGAGTCTTCTGTTGTTAGTATGGAGACACTATATTAAAGATGTATTATAGGCAGACGAGAAGAGTAGTATCAAGACCATATATGACTAGTACAAGACAATAGTTTGCATCGTATTTTTGTAAAGTTTTTCATACACAGAACTTTTTACAGACAGACGCTTTTGCACACAGAGACTTTTACACACAGAGACTTTTACACACAGAGACTTTTACACACAGACGCTTTTACACACAGACGATTTTGCACACAAACACTTTTACACACAAACACTTTACACACAGAGACTTTTACACACACAGACGCTTTTACACACAGAAGCTTTTACACACAGAAGCTTTTACACACAGACGCTTTTACACACAGACGCTTGTTACACATAGGCTCTTTTACACACAGACACTTTTACACACAGACGCTTTTACACACAGAGCTTTTACACACAGACGCTTTTACACACAGACGCTTTTGCACACAGAGACTTTTACACACAGAGACTTTTACACACAGAGACTTTTACACACAGACGCTTTTACACACAGACGATTTTGCACACAAACACTTTTACACACAAACACTTTTACACACAGACGCTTTTACACACAGACGCTTTTACACACAGAAACCTTTACACACAGAGACTTTTACACGCAGACCCTTTTACACACAGGAGCCTTTACACACAGAAGCTTTTACACCCAGACGCTTTTACACACAGAAGCTTTTACACACAGACGCTTTTACACACAGACGCTTTTACACACAGACGCTTTTACACACAGACGATTTTACACACAGACGCTTTTACACACAGACGCTTTTACACACAGACCCTTTTACACACAGACGCTTTTACACACAACCGCTTTTACACACGGCACTTTTACACACAGACACTTTTACACACAGACGCTTTTACACACAGACGCTTTTACACACAGACGCTTTTACACACAGACGCTTTTACACACAGACCCTTTTACACACAGACGCTTTTACACACAGACGCTTTGACACACAGACGCTTTTTACACACAGAGGCTTTTACACACAGACGCTTTTTACACACAGGCTCTTTCACACACAGAGACTTTTACACACAGAGGCTTTTACCCGCAGAGACTTTTACACAAGACGCTTTTACCACACAGGAAGCTTTTACACACAGACGCTTTTACACACAGACCCCCCCAAACTTTTACACACAGACGCTTTTTACACACAGACGCTTTGTGACACCAAACACTTTTACACACAGGGCTTTACAACAGACGCTTTGACAAACAGACGCTTTTACTGTACGCACAGACGCTTTTACACCAGACGCTTTACACAAAGACGGGCTTTTACACACAGAGGCCTTTATACCACACAAACAAATTTACACACAAACGCTTTTACACACAGACGCTTTTACACACAGACGCTTTGACACACAGACGCTTTTACACACAGACGCTTTTGCACACAGTTTTTTACACACAGACGCTTTTACACACAGACGCTTTTACACACAGACGCTTTGACACACAGACGCTTTTACACACAGAGGCTTTTACACACAAACACTTGTACACACAAACACTTTTACACACAGACGCTTTTACACACAGACGCTTTTACACACAGACGCTTTGACACACAGACGCTTTTACACACAGACGCTTTTACACACAGACGCTTTTTACACACAGAAGCTTTTACACACAAGTAAAATCGCAATTTTTCCTCAGTTTTTGACGATCGGCCCTCATTTCGTGCGAAAGGGTTGCTCCGGCACAAGTAAAATCGCAATTTTTCCTCAGTTTTTGCCGATCGACCCTCATTTCGTGCGAAAGGGTTGCTCCGGGGCAAGTCAAATCGCAATTTTTCCTCATTTTTTGACGATCGACCCTCATTTCGTGCGAAAGGGTTGCTCGGGGGCAAGTAAAATCGCAATTTTTCCTCAGTTTTTGACGATCGACCTTCATTTCGTGCGAAAGTTTTGCTCCAGCACAAGTAAAATCGCAATTTTTCCTCAGTTTTTGCCGATCGACCCTCATTTCGTGCGAAAGGGTTGCTCCGGGGCAAGTCAAATCGCAATTTTTCCTCATTTTTTGACGATCGACCCTCATTTCGTGCGAAAGGGTTGCTCCGGCACAAGTCAAATCGCAATTTTACTTCAGTTTTTGCCGATCGACCCGCATTTCGTGCGAAAGGGTTGCTCCGGCACAAGTCAAATCGCAATTTTTCCTCAGTTTTTGCCGATCGACCCTCATTTCGTGCGAAAGGGTTGGCGTTTCGTGACTCGCCGCCGGCACCACCCTCGGCCTTAAGAGAGAAAGATAAAAAGAAGGCGAGAGAGAGAAAAAGGAGAGAGATGTGAGAGAAGATGTGAAGATGAGCAGATGTGAAGATGAGCAGATGTGAAGATGAGAAGATTTGAAGATGAGCAGATGTGAGAGAAGATGTGAAGATGAGCAGATGTGAAAATGAGAAGGTGTGAGAGAAGGTGTGAAGATGAGAAGGTGTGAAGATGAGAAGATTGTGGAAGTTGACAGATGTGAAGATGAGAGAGTGAAGATGAGCAGATGTGAAGAATGAGCAGATTGAAGAGGAGCAGAGTGAGTGAGAAAGATGTGAGATGAGGCAGAGTGTGAAGATGAGAAAGATGTGACAGATGAGCAGATGTTGAAGATGAGAAGATTGGAAAGATGGGGAAGGTTGATAAGAAGATGTGAAGATGAGCAGATGTGAAGATGAGCAGATGTGAAGATGAGCAGATGTGAAGATGAGCAGATGTGAAGATGAGGAGATGTGAAGATGAGCAGATGTGAAGATGAGCAGATGTGAAGATGAGCAGATGTGAAGATGAGAAGGTGTGAAGATGAGAAGATGTGAAGATGAGAAGATGTGAAGATGAGCAGGTGTAAAGATGAGCAGATGAAGATGAGCAGATGTGAAGATGAGCAGATGTGAAGATGAGCAGATGTGAAGATGAGCAGATGTGAAGATGAGAAGATGTGAAGATGAGCAGATGTGAAGATGAGCAGATGTGAAGATGAGAAGATGTGAAGATGAGCAGATGTGAAGATGGGAAGGTGTGAAGATGAGCAGATGTGAAGATGAGAGGATGTGAAGATGAGAGGATGTGAAGATGAGATGATGTGAAGATGAGATGTGAAGATGAGAGGATGTGAAGATGAGATGTGAAGATGAGAAGATGTTTTACAGACCCCCACTATTGGAAGAACCCTGCGCTCAGACGCTCTCGGGAAAAAACTACCCTATAGGTCAGGCAAGGTTATTTGGAGCAAAATAGGTAAAAGTGATTTTGGAGGCAATTTTCTAACTAATAGTTTATTTTTAAGGAAACAAAAATAGTTATTTTTTTTTAACTACATAGTTAATTTTTAAGGGTCCATTTCAAGGTAATTTTTGGTGTTTAAAAAAAATACCTTCAAAATTTACCTTGAAATTTTGCATTTTTTGCATGGAAAAAAAGATAATGAATTTCGACATTTTCTTAACATTGTACCATAGTAAAGTGAACATTATCAATTGCTTGAAAGGTATTTTAACAATATGTTTCTTGATTTTGTGTGAAGTCAGTCCTACATGATTACTGGGAAGTGCAAAAAACTATATTGTTTGAACTTATACTTGTTTGAGCAAATCAAAGTTTTTATTTGTGAAGATCAAATCTGATTGGATGTCTTGAAGATATGTTATACAACATCAAAGCTACAATGAAGTAACCCCAAGCATACATTCTGTCTTTGAAAGCTCGGTGAGGACATCCATCAAAGTATAATTGAGTTTTTGGTCTTTCTTGTCAAAAAAAAGATTTTGACAGCCGGTCTTTGACAATCTCTGCCCAGTCACTCCTGGGAGCACTTGCCCTGCTCAGTTTCACAGGAGCATCACAAATCGCTTTTGGCAATGCTGAGGATGAAGTAACCACAGCTGGTGTAGAGGAAGCACTGCTACCACTACCACAACTACCACTACCACTACCACCACAACTAGCTCCAGTGCCAAGCTGGCTCCAGGGCCTGCTCGACATGAATTGACTCATCTGCGAATAACTCATCCTTGGTGATGTTGGCTTGGCCACCATGCAAGACCATGGAACTGCCCTGCTTCTTCTCAATGGCTGTGGCTATTGTCCTGTGGCTATTGAGCTGACATGATAGTAACCATCTTTCTGATAGACATCACCTCGTCTTTCTGCTCATTCAAAGCTTGCTGGTTTCACTGGATTTTTTCCACGACATGATGGAGTGAGGCAACCCAGTAACCTGAGATTTGTTGGTGCAAATCTCAAAGTTCTTGAAAACCTCGCACTGGGTATTTCCAGGAGCAAAAGCAAACTCGCCACTGGTGTTCTGCTGAAAGACTTTGTTGATGCATTGACTCTTAAATAACATTGGGGGAGGAGAATTCTTGGAGCCCTCTTCATAGAGCTGCTGAAGATCTTCTGGCACCTGACCACTTTTGAACATTCTGGCACATTTCCTTACCTTGGGGTAGCTTCGATGCTCATCATCAGCAACTGTTGCATCCTCCTCTTTAGGCTCCTCATCTTCTCCTTCTGCATGGTCATCAGGAACTGGCTCATCCCTGGTCTTCTTCCATCCTGCTGCCATCTCCTTGACAGTCTTCGCTTTGGCCTTGGCTTTCGCCTTCAGCTGCATCAGGTCTTGCCAGGATTTTCTTCATTGTGCTCTTGGCTTTTGCCTTTTGAGCTTTCATTGGCGAAGAAGTAACCCCAGGAGCTTTGCTGGCAGCAGCCTTGGCTTTACCTGCTGCCTTTGCCTTGACTTTAGATTTTGCTTTCACCTAGGCTTTGGCCTTTGCCTTTGGTGCTGCAGTATCTAAGAATCTA